AATCTAACCGATCTCATTGACCTCCTCATGCTCTGTAGAATACGTATGTAACGTAATATGAGGAGGTTGATTAGATTACGTTGCATACATTATCTCATTTAATTCTTCTTTCATTCTTCTTTCTACATTTTTTACATTTCTATTGATAGAAATAAATAGAAACTGAGGCTTGTTATTTGCGTATAAAAATATTTTTCTTCTGTTTTTGGATAAAGACAAATATACGCCTCACATTTAGTTAATTACCTACAATGCGATCATCTATAGGCAAAAACACAGAAACACAAATGTTGATCTGTGATGTGAGAGACCATTTCAAGTATACTTTTTAAATGAAAATGAAAAATTTCAGAAAGACAATTATAATGCCGTCAACACTGTCGAAGAAACCTGCAAAGCAGATAATAAGCAATAAAAATAATAAATCATTGTTAATTAAACATTGGATGATACATTCAACATTTCACGGATTGTCCAATATGGTATACGCACGAAGTAGAAAAAATTTTATTTTTTGGGCTATCATATTTTTATTATTTGTCTCTGCGCTGGGATATTTCTTATACTCCCACTGGAGACAATATGCTTCACTTCAAACTCAGATTAGGTGAGTTATCCGACTCTCTGTATTGATAAGATGCTTGAGTCATCTGTCCATTGTAAAAAAAATGTCCTACATTCCTACTTTCCGAATGTGTCTTTTGGTTGTGTTCAATCTATGTAATTTCTTCATGTGTTCCATGACAGAGCACATACATTCTATGTGTCATATTTTAGGTTACATCATTTTAAGTTGTTTTTTTACGTGTGTATCATTGACTCAGCTGCTTTGATTTTCGACTTATCTTCATATACTTTCCAGAGGATCGCGCCAACTACTTTTGAGTAGTAAAGCAATGAAAACCAGGAACCCATCACGTGTCTACTGATGTTCAGAGCATCCAGCCATTGCTAGGGTCTGTAGAAAGATACACTGAAGGCGACCATTGACTCTTCAAAGTTCATACTTGAGTTATTGAAAAGGCGTGCAAATTTTTGGTTTTAAACGACATTTTGAAGCAAATTATTGAAAATTGCTCTATCATTTCAGGTAAAAGTACTTTCTCAGACTTTCGAAGAGATCTGCGATCGGCTTTTAAAGTTGTAGAGAGCTAGGGCTATCTTTCCGAAATCTGACAGTTTTCTTTAGTAAAATATCCAGTGACTTCTGCTTTTGTGAGAGGACATTTATAATTTTCTTTGAAAAAAGTTAACGATTTGGTGGGAAAGAATAGAAACCATGATTTTCTATTCTTAGGGTGGGATGGGCGATGACCTGCATCCCAAGATAGTTTTTGCTTTTTTTCCTTGGTTCTGCTACAGTGTACCAAGTAATTTCGAAGGGATCGACTAACTAAAGGTGAAAAGACCGAGATGTGAGTGTCTGATTGTACAGAAAAACTCCGACTAAAGCCAGCTTTAACCTACAGTTTTCTAAAGCATAGAAGTGTTTCAGCACGACAGTTTTGATTATAGCAAAGTAAGGTTATGGGGTCGTTGCAGAAAGCTCACAATCACGAAAAACAAGATTATAGATGTAAAGAATCTTATAGTTTATTGCACTCACCAGCAGATGCTAAAAAGGTATGTATCCATTGCTTCCAGTTGGAAAGTTATCTAAGAAATCTGAATCCAGTTTCTTCCAAATTCTGAAAAGCTGAAAAGCATATGTAGTTACTTTTTTCTACACAAAGAGTTTTTCTTAAAGCTTATCCTACGACTTGGAATATCCAATGGTCTTTCCATCGTTCACACTATGTAACATGGGCAGATACAATAACGAGCGTTTAGAACGATTGTTTAATTCGACGACAAATTTATCCATAACTGAGCTAGATTATCTTATACTAAGTAAACAAAATTACACGTTGATAAAACAGTTGAGTTTTCAACTGTCGGAAATGCTTTTGTCCTGTTCGTTCGATAATCGTCCATGTAATATTTCGAGAGATTTCATTCGATTTTCGTCTCAGAAGTACGGGAACTGCTTTACATTTAATGCACGGCGTAAACATATTGACCAGTTAAAACAGATAACGGACGGCTTTGCTCCCGCAAAATTAGTTTTAGACATCTATTTACATGAACATCAATATACATCGCATGTACATAAAGTCGGTCTCGTTGCTCTCGTTCATCACTATAGTGAATGGCCAGTAGTCGATCGACAAGCATTGTGGTTTCGACCTGGTGAATCTCATCGTATTGGATTTTCAAAAAAATTAACAAAGTATTTATTACCACCGTATACGGCTTGTACGTTTAAACTAGCTGACGATCTGCAAGAAGTGTTCGATGCACATCAGGTCGATTTCGACTATTCACAAGACTTTTGTGAATATATTTGTACGGAGCGCGAAATTATTTCTCGCTGTAATTGTACGCGCCCAGGATCGATGTTAAGTTATTTGACACTAAATTCAACCTTAAAATTTTGTGATACGCTCGAAAGTACACAGTGTGTTTCAAATGCAACTCAGCAAGTGAAATGCCAGCACTGTGTACAACCATGTACTGTCATCCAGTATCTAGTGCACTTAACATCTGCACGTTTTCCTTCATCCAAATATTTACAGACCGCGAAAAGTAATGTTGAACGTGTTTTTAAACAACATAATATCACATTAGATCCGAATTGGTCTTCCGAATGGAAACAGATAATCGAACAAAATTACGTTCAAGTGGAAGTGGCACTTGAAATGTATAATGTAGAAACAATTCAACAAGATGTTTCACAATCATGGCAACAGTTAGTTGCCGATTATGGTGGTCTCTGTGGTTTATTCATCGGTGTTAGTCTATTGAGCCTCGTTGAATTGTTGGAACTCATTTACCGGTTGACAAAACACGCTTGTCGCTCAAAATTGCAAACATACAGTGACGGAATGTTCCGAAGGCCCAATGCAGTGACAGTACAAACAATTTCAGCATTATAGTTGAAAGCTCGACATTAAAATAACAAAAGCTTGCTGCATATAATTTCGGTTCATCCTCTTGTCAAAAAAGTTTGAAGAACATTAAAGAACTGCCTCATTGCGTGCATCATCGTGTTGAAAACAACTCTTTTCGAATATCTAAATAACCGAACGTTTAATCATACTGAAACCACGTGAAATGCGTAAAGTTATGGTGACTGCCACTTTAGATGTCGAAATGAGAATTATGTCTTTGTTCGAACGTTCTCAAGAGGTTCCGATTTGCTATATTATACAACGGCATAAATCCATCTTTCCTCGCGGAGTGAGTATCACACAAAGGCGCTCGAACAAGTTAGATAAAAAGTCAATTTTCAGCAATGTTTACCAGATTTCTTGATCAGATTTTGTTAGAGTTTCAAGTCACGTTTTTATGATACACTTATAGGATGTGCAACGATCGACGATAATGTTCAGTTTTAGCAAATTAGTTTAAGTTTTGAAATCTCAAGGCTAAAATACTGTTTTATCGTGTTCCGAGAAGAAGTTCAAATCAGCAGTTTAATAGCTCATATTGAATACAGCACAAAAATGTAAGTTAGGACTCTTGTGAACAGAAGTTTCCTAAGAACAAGTGAGTAGCGCCTTTTATTATTTTAAACTGGTGTAAAAAGCGTATTAAATTTTATTTGTTAAAATTAAAAATAAAATATTTTTTGTGGTTTTGATTCTCTTTCGAATGATACATCTGAACCTTTTCAAACGATAATTAAGTTGAAAGCATTTTAATTTTTTAAAATTTACTCCTGTTGTACTGTACATAAAAATCGACATTTTTAATGGAATAGAGTTAAAACTTTTGAAAATTCTTTTTCACAAAAATGTAGCACATTAAATTTTCTATCGAAACATATATTTTTTATTTGTATCAAATATCCTTTTGAATGGAGAAAATAGATCAGGTTTAAGAGAAGTAGCCTAGACTTTGAACTGCTGGAGAAAAAATGTTTTATTTGCTAGAATCGCAAAAATCACAGTTTTTGTTTAGGATTCATATCATGTGGATTGTGTAGAAGAGACTCTTAACTACTTAAGTCACACTTAGACCTGTGCGCCGCACCTCCGCCGATGGAAAAATTATGATTTTTTAGGCCATCGCCGCTCAGTGAGTTATACTGTAAAGAGCTATATTCACCATCTGACGAGGAAGCTATGTCTAATTGTCATATATGGATGCAACAAAGAAACATGGGGTTCAGAAAAAAACGGTTTGTTCAGGAATACACATGAAATTGTAGTGGACAAACATTGGTCTGCTCACAGATAAACATGCAGTGGTTGCGGCGAAACATTATTTTCTTCAGAAATAAACATGCAGTGCTTGTGGACAAACATCCGTTTCTGTACGAACAAAAATGCAACTCTTCGGCCTGTTCTTGAATAGACATGAAGCTATTTTCTCGATTTTCTAGAAAAATGAAAAAAATTGAAAACAGCCCTGTTTTTGAAAATCTCATATCGGGCTGAATTTTTCTTTGTCTGGCCTAAAAATCTGGCTACAGAGGTTTCTCAACATGGGCTATCGAATGGACATAACTAAAAAATCCCTCTTCCCGTCCATTGTGCTCATAGCAAACGCGTGAACAAGAAGAAAAAGCAAGTAACGAAGAGATCTCAAGTTCTTGGCATAACGGCACGTGAAAAATAAACAAACAATGACTGTTTACTGTTCGGTAAAATAACCCATTTTCTGGAAGATTGACAAGAATTTTCGAGAAATGTAGGTGTCTTCGAGAATAAAAATGAAATTCTTTTGGAAAAACATCGGGCTCTTCAAAAATATACAAGCGGTGCTTGTGGAGAAACATCCGTTTTTCTTAGAAGAGACAACTAGTCATTTTCGAGAAACATGAGTTTCCGCAGGAATAAAAATATTGTTGCGTGGAACGCCGATGTTTCTCTACAATACTTTTATCGTTATTCGGAAAGACACCCATATTTCTCGGAAATAGAATAGAAGAAACCGATGTTTGTCCACAAAAACTTCATGTTTATTCTTGAAGAAAACGGTGTTTGCATACATGATTACGTTTATTATGCAGAAGACCGTGTTTCTCCAGAAGAGTTGCACTTTGTTCCTACAGAAACCGATGTTTCTCTACAAGCATCGCATGTTGATGTTTGAAGAGCCCGATGTTTCTCTAGAAGAGATGCATTTTTGTTGAGACAGAAACCGATGTTTATCGACCAGCACTGGAACTTTATTCCTGAAGAAAGCGATGTTTCACCACAACCGCTGTATGTTTATCTGTGAACGCACTGATGTTTTGCCCCAGAAGACTTTCATGTTCATTTCGAAAGAAACCGATTTTTCTCCACTGACGGAAATAACTGCATGTCTTTTCCTGAAAAAATGTTTCTTTACAAGCACTGCATGTTTGCTTGTGAAAGGACCGATGTTTCGCCACAAGAATTTTATGTTAATGTTTAAAGAAACGCATGTTTCCACACAAGAATATGTTTATTCCTGAAGAAACTCATGTATCTCCAAAAAACGCGTGTTTCTCGAAAATATCGTCATGTTTATTTGAGAAACCGGTCTAACTCCAGAAACACTGCACGGTTATTTGTTAAGAGACGCGTGTTTCACCACAGGAACGTCAAGTTTCTTCGTGAAGATGTTAATGTTTGACGAAACCTAGGTTTGTAGAAGACGAAATAGTTGGAGCAGAAGTAGCTGCAGTGTTAGTAGTTGAAGAATTTGTTATTAGTACTGTAGTTGGATTAAGGACTCGAAATGGAACTGTACTCGAAGCACTTCTTAGTCATTGCAGCCGTTCTTTAGATTCGGAGCTAATATCGTTATCCACAACAGCTTTATGCTTTCTCCTGGTGAAACATGTAGTCCTTGTCAACAAACATGGGTTTCTTCAATAGAAAACAAGTTCTTGTGGACAAACATCGCTTTCTGCAAGAGAAAGCAGGAAGCTGTTGTAAGCCAACCATCTAGTTCTTCATGAGAACAAGTGAAGTTATTGGCAACAAACATGGGTATCTTCAGCAGAATACATGAGGGTCATGTGGACAAACATCGGTTGCTCAGGAGAAAACATGAAGTTCTTGTGGAAAAACATCGACTCCTTCACGAATGAACATGCAGTGCTTGTGGACGAACGTTGGTTTCGGTAGCAGTAAAAATATGACTCTTCCACAAATATGGGCTTCTTGAAGAATAAACACACAGTTCTTATCGAGAAACACCGGTTTTACGACTGCAACGACTAAGAAGTGCTTCGAATACAGTTCCATTTCGAATCCTTAATCCAACTACAGTATTAATAACAAATTCTTCAACTACTAACACTGCAGCTACTTCTGCTCCAACTATTTCTTCTTCTACAATTATTCATCATATTTTACCATAACGTTGTGAACTAGAATCACCATTAACACGATATAAATGTACGTATTGCTCAATGATCTTAATTAGCAATGAGCAAAGATTTAACTGCATTGCTACGAATACCGATCCAATTGATTTTTCCGATTCAAACCAGTTTGAAGGTTTAAATTTAAAATTTAAATATCCATATCTAAACAAAGAATGCCCATGGTTTGAAATGTCAATAATCAATATTGATCAGGACAACATGACAAAATCTTCTAAATTAATTCATTCATTACAACAAACGCACATCATTTCATCTACATCATCGTTAACAATGACTAATAATAAAATGAATAAAAATGATCTACCATCTGAAATTATATTCAAAAATGAACTTAATCGGAAAACACGATTCGAAAATCATTTGGTAATTCTTCATTCACATAAAAATAGAAATTCATTTCCGTCTTCGTCATCCACCATCATTTAACGACATTGTTCCATATCCAGACGATCAGCCACGTGGATGTTATCAATGTAAATCAAATCGATGTGCAACTTGTAAATATTTAATCGAACAAATCTGGTTTATTTCAACATCTACAAATCAAATATTTAGCATTCCTTTTAATGTTTTATGTACAAGCACAGATTTATGCTACCTGGTCTCATGTACATTATATTATGCACGATACGTTGGAACAACAGGAACACAACTACGAAAACGCTTAAATCATCATTTAACTTCCATTTAACATTAATACTTCAATAACACAAACTGTGTAAAACACTTTAATTTGCCAGATCATTCAACAAACAATATCAAAATCATTATTATAGAATCAAATTATATAAATGAACGTCGCCGCTTAGATCGTGGACAATATTAGATCGAAGTTCTAAAATCATTCATCAATACAGACAACTAACTTACGCGGATGATCTTTTAAGTCTAAGATCTTTCATAAATGGCTCTATCGCATCAGATTTTGGTCTATATATATAGATATATATATATATCAGCATTCTTTTCCTCTTTAAGCCGACTGAGTGAAATTTAGTCGACGTATTGCTTTTCACTTTGAGACATGTGTTCTTTCTTTCTTTTTCTACAGTTTTGATCGATTTTTCCACCCACCATTCTCGGTTATGTCTGATCCTACTGATTTGAGAGAAAGATGATTCGAAAGTAGAACCATCGTACGTGACAGAACTGAAGTTGGTTATCTGATATTTGCTTTAGCTATCCTATAATTAGTATCACAAAATGAATATATTTTTCAGAAAACTCTATTATTTCTCGTATCAGATAATTAATCGTCACGTGTTATCCTTCATAGTGAATATATAGTATAGTGCTTGATATGATGAAAGCTATAGGAGAATGTATGATAAGATAATGAATCAGCTGATACGATAGTATGAACAATATACTGTAGAACATAAATGCAGCTAAAAATTTATGTAGCAGTTTACTAAATGTTACACCCGCTGTACTGCCATAGCTGGTTCCATTCGTATTCCACTCAGTCGGTTTCCAATCTTCGCGGAGCTCAGTTGGCATCTAGTTCTTCTTGTCTTATTCAAAAGAAGAAAAAAAGAAGAATGCCAAATATGAATTATATAGTCCAAC